CTTTTCATTGAGTTTCTTGAACGCACCATAGCGAGGATCCTTTGAGATTATTTTGACGCATTGCTCCCATGTCGCGTTTGATGGCACATTCTAGAAAGAGAACAAAATCAATTAAATATCTGAGAAGCAGCTTATCATGTGATGAAATTTTATGAAAAATAACCAAAAGGTAGAAAAGAACACAGAGAATCAAATACAAAAGGTATAATATCGAGTTATTGAAAAAAAAAATTTTGTAGGAATTTGGGTGTGAAAAATATCAGTTTTTTTTATTTATATTCCTAGGTATATGGTAAGAATTAGGTACCCTGTCCCGCAATAACTCCTTAAATGCTTCGATAGCTTCTTTTTTATCCTTGTACTGGAATTCGGGTGCTTGATCATTGCTGTCGGCGCCACCGGCCATCGGTGGAGCTACTATCTCTTCGGGCATTACTGTAAAAACAAATTACTTATTTAAGATTTGACAAAATATTTAAAGATAAATCAGAAAAAAAAGAAAGAATAATATCAGCAATCAAAACACCCACAAGGTGGACCGACGACATCATAAAGGTGGTAGGAAGGCGCTGGATACAGGCCACTACCACCTGGCCATTGTGGAAATCATAAGAGGAGGCCTATGTTCAGCAGTGGACGTCCTATGGCTGAAATAGTGACTGATATGATAAAATATTTCTACTAGTCCCAATATTTCACAAATATAATAATAATAATAAGTCAGAGACTATAAACCAGGCAGGTGTCCCATAGTCTCCATCCATAGCCCAGTAACCAGTCCATCCATCCTTCATCCATAACCCTAGTCCATTCTCCAATAACTGCAACAGCTCCTGTGCACAGGCTGGGGATGGTCTCTGGCTACATCCCATGATATAGTCAGAGACTAGATCCAGCATCCAGCATGTGCACCACTTTCACTTTTGTCGATTATTTTGCGCTTAAAACGGCCTCTACATGTTGGATCTGTATCCCCACGCAAGCCTTATAAAGGACCGGGCCACTTTTGACCCGTGAGCTCCAAAGCGTACAAACATAATAATAATAATGCATTGACTTACTTTCTTCTGGAATCGGTATGTTGTTTGCAAGTGAAGGGTCGATCGAAGCAAGTGTCTTGGCCATTGCTTCATCCAGAGCCGATATGCCAGAGCTGGAGACAGTTGGTGAGCCCGGCAAGGGCACCTCTGCTGGAGTCACCTCCGCAAGAAGTGCAGCCCTGATAGTTAAATTCATTTAGTTTGTAATAAAATTTCTTTGCAATAATTAAACATCATTCAAGGCAATAACATTGCTTGTGTAGTTAATTGGCATTAGAATATACCTAGAATTATACATATGTATAATTAGAATAAACCCAAGGTGGTTTGAGCAGTTAGGTATATTTATTTCAAATTTTCAAGTTATGCTCACATGATGTCAGTAAAACTGAGTTGTACCATCTTACTTTAACTTTGACAAACGTCAAAAATCTGTCAAATTCCATACAAAAAGCACCGGTTATTGTCACGGTGGTGCAAAGGAAAAGAAGAAGTAATTTAGCAAAACACTATAATGAATACATTTTAAGCAGTCCATTAAAGAAACTATAGTATGATTTCTTTGATTTCATAAATAAAATCTAACAACTAGAAGGTAAGTTAATAATGTTGGTATTTAATTAGTATAGTATTGTTTGATGCAAACTTTATACTTACTGGGCGGCCTCTTCAGCAGCTATTTTATCTTTGATTTCTTGGAGCTCCTTAGGCACAACCCAGCTGGACTCCTTAGTCTCAATGTTGTGATAATAAACTCTGCCAGCATCTGTTGTGTATTCTTTCCACACACATGAAGACAAAAGCCTCTGAAAAATGGAAATTATTGACTTACTGATTAATTCTATAAGTACATACCTAATGAGTACTTGTTTGACAACCATTTATTAATGCACTATAAATAAATAAAGAGAAGTATTAGTAAAACAATTTCTTAAATGCTATCTACCATAATCATCTTTTGTCAAATAAAAAAAAAATTGAATGATTTTTTTCTTACTTCAGCTGGAGTCTTCATGTCGTCTGGCTTCTCCCAGAGACTTTGCTTGGTGACAGAGTTGTAGTAGTATGTCCTACCATCAGGAGCCTTGTGCTCAGACCAGGGACTGCTTTGATTGGCCATTGGAGCCACATCTGGTGCAGGAGCAGTTAAATCCTGAAACAGGACATAGTATAAATAATTTTATTAAACTAGAATTATTATAAAATATGGAATGATTAGATTTAAGTACTTAAATTGATAGATTGTGGATCCAATAAAGGGACTAAGTTTTCAAATACAAATTAATTTTATTGGTATGTAGGCTCTCTTCCTGGCATTGCTAAAACAAATAGCATTTACTCTATCACCACTTCAGGACAATGGATCAGCTGGTGCCAAAACAAGTAAGATTTTATAATTATTGTACTTACTGTCTTGAATGACGGGAATCCTGGTGGTGGCATAGAGAAAGGCGGGATCATGGGCGGGAAGCCCATCGGCGGCGGCATAGCTGTCATGTTGGGCGGCAGTCCCGGGACAGGCGGCATCGCCACAGCCTGAGGCATCGCTTGTAACCCAGCCAGCATCGGCGGAGGGAGCAGAGGCGCTGTGCCGATGAGACCAGGCGAGCTGGTCCCTGTCGCGGGCGTATCCTGGAACATCAACAGTTATAGGATTCCTACTAATAGTATTCGATTGAGTACATCTTTTATTTACTAATTTAATAATGACAAAATTGCCCTTGTAAATGATGCGATTTGCTGAATAATAACGGACAAAATGGAGTATGTAAACTAGCGTAAAAGAAATACAACTTACCATAGCTTTTTTCAGTCAACTTCGTAAGTGTTTATTTGTAAGATAATTTAGAATTATCAACGAAAGAAACAACTCAAAGAAAGCAACGCGGACACACAACAAAAAACTGTAATGACAGATGACGGCTCTGACAGATTACGCCTGACATTGACTTGTAAATCTATGGACTAGTCATATCCACAAAACAAACGTGTTCGAATATAACTAAAACTCAAGTTCAAACATAAAATAGCTGAGCCCCGATTACGGTAACTTTTAACGATTCCAATCCAGATGCGCTTCATCGATTCTGCGATACGATTGGTCAAAACAGAGCCCCGATTACGGTAACTTTTAACGTCTACAATCCAGACGCGTTTCTGATTCTGCAATACGATTGGTCAAAACAGCTGACATATGCTGTTGAACGACCAATCGTATCGCAGAATCGAGAAGCGTGTCTGGATTGTTGACGTTAAAAATTACCGTAATCGGGGCTCAGCTGACGTACGCTGTTGAATGACCATTGACCAATCGTATCGCAGAATCGAGAAGCGTGTCTGGATTGGAGACGTTAAAAATTACCGTAATCTGAGCCCCGATTACGGTAACTTTTAACGTCTACAATCCAGACGCGTTTCTGATTCTGCAATACGATTGGTCAAAACAGCTGACGTACGCTGTTGAACGACCAATCGTATCGCAGAATCGAGAAGCGTGTCTGGATTGTTGACGTTAAAAATTACCGTAATCGGGGCTCAGGGCTCTGTTCTTACATTTTTTTACTTACCTATAGATAGATAGATAGATTACCTATGGATAGATATTGATTTTTAGAGCATTGAACTGTAGCCTACGAGCGGTAAATATGTAAACCCGCCTCTGGATAGCAAAGTTTTTAATAGAGCCCCTCCATAATATTTATAGCTCTTTGCCATTGACCATTGACAATATTTTTTTTTGTGCCATTGACTATGTTTGTTTATGGCATGTCAATGTCAATCAAATGTCAGAGTTGAAGTTTCTAGGTTATGTTTTCTTTTTTTCCAGCTATTTTCGGAAAACCTCAAGTAAATTGAAACTGATATAGATTTATTGTAATTATGGCCTCTGTGCTGATAACTGCACTCAAAAGACTTAGTATTACAGCAGTACCGTCTCGAGTCTATTCATCTGCTGTAACTAAAACTACCGCAACAGTTTCAAACAGTTCTTTGGATGTAACCAAGAAAGAATGGATGTTTCCTCCTGTTTACACAAAGCCCCGCGAAGTGTGGGTTGAGAATATAGATACAGTTGAAGAGAAGAAGTTGGGTTTGTTTGAACTCCACCCCTCAGTGTTTGCCACAGTTCCACGAATCGATATAATTCACCTTAACGTTATTTGGCAAAGAAAGTACAGATGGGTTTCCTGGGCGCATACAAAAACTCGTGCTGAGGTGCGTGGTGGAGGAAAGAAGCCGTGGCCTCAAAAAGGTCAAGGCAGAGCTCGACATGGATCCATCAGATCGCCTCTGTTTCGCGGGGGTGGAATTGCTCACGGACCTCGCTCCGCTACAACGCATTTCTACATGTTACCGTTCTATCAAAGAATCTACGGACTGACTTCAACATTATCAGCAAAATTGGCACAAGATGATTTACACATCATCAAGGATTTAGACTTGCCATCTGATGAACCTGATTATTTGAAGGATTTGATTGAAAATAGGAATTGGGGCCCATCAGTACTAATAGTTGATGAGTAAGTATTGTTTTCTTTTCAAATGAAAATTCTCTATTGACATTAATTATTGCTAACATGCAATTATTGTGCTGCCACCATTTACTATCCACAATTACACATACAGTTTCTATGTTTACCATTTTTATGATATAAAATTTATTTATTAATCTGTATTATTTGTTTTCAGTACTGATATAGTACCTCGTAACATAACAGTGGCTACAGATGCATTGCCCCATGTGAACATAATGCCTGTGTACGGGCTCAATGTATACTCCATGCTAAAACATGATACACTCATTCTCACAATGGCAGCAGCAGAAAAAATTGAAGAGAGGATTCTACACAACCTCAACTCGATTGCTAAAGAGCAACAAGCACCATTTAAGTTAGATCAAGTGTAAAAACTTATTTGCAATATAAATAATTTGTAACATTAGTGTAAATAAAAAATAAATGATATTTGAGTGATTTTATTTTATACAGAAACCAAGCACCTGCATTAATTATTGTCGAATTGATAGCACATTATTAGCTTGAAACTGCATTTTGTTCATTTCTTCAATGAACTTTTTTTGTCAAGATTTTGACCTTCAGGAACCTGGAAATTGAAAACTTTGAATTAAAAAGAGTTTATAAAGATTTATGATAAAAATCCAAGATAGTGTCTTTCATAATAGTAAAACTAGAAGCTGAAGAAGCTAATCACTGATTTGCCCCCAACCCAAAACAGTAATTAGTTATTTGCATTCGAAACACATAATAACAATAACACGATTTTTGATTTAAAAATAACTTACTTTACTAACTACAGGTTTAGGTACATTTCCAGCCATTTTTTGTCTGACATTCCATCTCAAATCGGACCAATTATTTTCACCGGGCACATTGGGCTTATACTTGGCCCACAATGATGTGTAATGGTGATACAGTGACACTGGATCACACTTCTTTATGGCTTGCTGCTGAGGAACTTTGATTACTGTAAAAGAAAATGATGAATGAAGCTAGGATCTTATTATTATGAAAATTTTGTAAATACCACAATATTTTTGTAATATTGTGTCTAGTAACTTAGTAGTAGTTCTTACAATTACTATTAGACGAAGGAATCTTTTCTTTTGAGATAACATCTTGTTTCTTTTCCACCACTCTTACACATGAACATGATCTTTTATAGTGTTCAGCGGTGTTCGTTTCTGGTTTCCGGTGACCTATGCTCGGCGCAGAATGGACATTACGAGAACCTAAGGGTTTTCTTCTTTGACAATCTCTGTTACAACTGACTGGGGCACTTTGAGGGCATTTCGATCTTATCCTTGATGAAAAGGTGCTAGCACTGTGCAATCTCTCAGGTCCTGAAGGTTCTGGTGTTTGATTCTGTCCACTCGCTTCTAGATTTTTCTGCTCCAAATCATACTTGATAAGTTTTTTTAGATCTGTAAACAAACAAAACTCAAGTTTGTATTATTACACTCATGATGAGTGAACGTGAATTCATAACGAAATTGTTTATAATTTTGTACATTTTGATTCTTAAGCAATAAAATAATATGATAACAGTCTTTTGTACCAGTTATGAAATATTTGAGGACCTCTCCACTAATGTTTTGAATTCCCATGTTATTTAGGTACCGCAATATTTCTCTAGCATTTAACTCTGCAGTAACATCATAGTACTCAATTTCCATCTTGAAATTTCGTCCAATTTATTAATTTGGTTGCAGATTTCTGAAAAAACTTAAAAAAACTAACGAATTACGAAAGTAACTGAATTCAATCGTTTGACATTTGTTTGACTTGACTGACCACAGACTTAAATTGACATTGACAATGACATTTACTATTTTAACGAAACCTCAGCACAGAGCACAGGCAGTGGTTAGGCCGGGTTATTTTATTAATTAACTATTCAGAAATAGTTACTAACTATATTTACCGTTTATGTTTTATTTAATTAATTTAAAGGCACTGGGTCTCTCTCAGAAGGAACTCTAGGGGTGGAATCTCCATAGGCGTGGGTTAACGGGCAAGGAGATAATATCTTGGATGGTTGACAACCACTTTTCCTACAATTTAACGTTCCACCAAACTCAACACGCTTGACATGACACAACTGATTGACAGTTATCTTTTTCTGCGCATCAGTCGGGTGTTACGTTTAGGAATCACAAACCTTCCGCTCTACAGATTTATACAGATAACATAATATTAAGATTGGTACTAACTATTAATCATCAATAATAATTGCAGCATCTGTGTCCGGCGCCGACACGGCCAGCCTGGGGTTTAGGTAACATGGCCTGACGCGCAAGGCTTAAGCCAAGGCTCCTTCAACCATTTACCTCAAACCGCACCACTACTACTGCTGATCCAGGCATGCAGACATGCGACCAGGAAACCAACATTACATCAGCGTGGCCCGGGCGTAAACAGCCCCTTCAACCACGGCAACAGGGTGGCCCGGCCCCCTCAACTCACTCACTCACAAAGGCCCTTCCAGTTTACGTCAATCACAATAATTTCCGTCAACCTGCACCAACTCTCAATGTCCAAATGTCTGAGCCAGCATCCTCCATGTAAAACTTGATGAGTTGCGTAGCGTAGGTGTGCATCATTGAGTTATAGTAGTAACATTACTTCAATGGTGTGCATGCTGAAAGATTTATCTCCTTTGAATAGTGCCCTTCGAATCCCACTTCTGATAAAGGCACTGGGTCTCTATCAGAAGGAACTCTAGGGGTGGAATCTCCATAGACGTGGGTTAACGGGCAAGGAGATAATATCTTGGATGGTTGACAACCACTTTTCCTACAATTTAACGTTCCACCAAACAGGGCCGGATTAACCATCTCGGGGCCCCTAGGCACAGCTCGTTTTGGGCCCCCTTTTTTTTTGTCGCGGAGGAAATGCTTTGCGCACCGTCACCACTGCCGGGGGACAGGGTGGTGTGTGGGACTCCCGGCGCCCTAAAAAGGACGGGGTATACCCACTAAAACCTCCGCGGCGTTCCGTCGTAGCCCGAGTGGGGGTGTCGCGAGTATCCGGCCGTAGCCTTAGACTTCCGCGACACCACGCTACAGCGACAGCTCGCCTACACGGCGGACCCTACACGCCCCACTTGTGGGGGTCCGACGGGAATGCCCGAAACGCCAAGCCGTTCCCGTCAGACGAAGGTGACAAGGGTGCCCCCGCACCCCCGGCCTGCTGGCCGCCACCTGGGGGCAGAGTAGAACAGTCGTACAACCGCCTTCTCCGGCCCCTTCTCCGCCTGCGGAGCGATGGGGCGAGAGGATCGTTCTCCTGCTCGCGCTCCGCTGCCTCCTTCTGAAGGATGACCTCTTCGCAAAAGGAGGCGACCACCTTCCAGCATCCTTCACTTCCCAGCATGGCGATGACCAGGCTCGGAAGCGAAAGATCCCGGCCCACGACCGCAGTGAGGACACGGCGCTGCTCCTCCCAGCCTGTGCAGACCGCGAGGGTGTGCACCGTGTCATCCGCCGCTCCACATTTGTGGCACACGGGCATTTCTTCCCGCCCGATTCTTTGCAGGTACGAACCGAAGCAGCCATGCCCGGTCAGCACCTGCGCCAGACGGAACGTGAGGACCCCGTGCGGTCGTTCCAACCATTGGTCCAGAACAGGACCAATGGCGGCCAAAATGCGCGCGAGTCATGTCTTCGTGACGGCGCCGCATCGCTCCGGGGCCGGGCGCTTTCCACGCGCCTTCTGGTCTGCCATCCAGTGATAGATGACAGACAAGACCCCAGCTTCTAGCTCCCAAGGAGGAGTACCAGTGAGGACGCACGCCGCAGCGTGCCCTACCGTGCGGTAGGTCCTTGCGACCCTCTGCGCTATGGCCCGCTGGGGTCTGCGCAGAAGGGCAGCATTCTACCTCTTGTTGAGTGCGTCCGCCCAGACTGGGGCGCCATACAGCGCCATGCTCCTCAGAACGCCGGCATAAAATCGACGACATCTCGTTTGTGGCCCTCCCAAATTCGGGAGGAGCCAACTCAGTGCGCTGGCTGCCTTGAGGAGGCGTGGCGCTAGCCCGTTGAAGTGCGGGCTAAAATGCCACCTCCCGTCAAGCGTGAGGCCCAGATATTTCATTTGGCCTTTGACGTCAATCCTAATGTCCTCAACGCGTCGGGAGGGGCGCGCTGGCGAGGCCCCGGAAAGAAGAGGGCCTCAGTCTTCTCCAGCGCGACTTTCAGACCGAGGCGTCGTATTCTGCGAGCGACTAATGTGCTGCCCGCTGACGCCAGCCGTGCCGAGGCCCCAAATGTCTTCCCCGGGTAGTGACCAGAGTGTCATTCGCATAATGTGACACTCATGCCCGCGAGAAGGACGCCCCGGAGGAGCTAGTTGAAGCCTAGGTTCCACAAGAGTGGACCGAACCCTGCGGAACCCCGCTGGCTACACCGCGCCGTTGGAGCTGGCCGTCTCTGTTAACATACAGGACTTCGCGGTCCCGTAAGTAATCGGCCAGCAGCGCTCAAAGGTACTGAGGCACTCTGTGATGTTGAAGTGCCTAGAGTATGGTGGAATGAGGGATGGTATTGAAAGTGTTGGCTATATCGAATGATACTAAATTGAATATTGTGTCAAAATCAGCTGTACGTTTAAGTTTAATATTCTGTCAAAGTCCACTTTTGCATGCCGTGGCAGCCTGTAATTAAGATAGCACCTAGTCCTAAGACAAAATTATGTATGTAAACCCCTTTGCTTGAATTTGTGTCTGTCTTGTTGGTTGTCCTAATTAAATAAATAAATAAATAAATAAATACAGCCAACACACCCTAAGCCTTCTCCCTAGCCTCCGCCGTGAGGCTTTTTAGCCTCTGAAGGCGTCGACCGTCGACCTGTCATGTAAACCAAAGCAGTAATGCTAACGTCATGAAAATTAATTAGGTTCCACAATATCGAAATATGACGATTTAATGTCGAAGATTTGAGGTGGTTTGAGTTTTGTTGCATTAAAATAATCTTTAACATTTTTTTTTTCATTTTTTTATCGGGAGTGTTGGGCCCTTGGTCATAGTGGGCCCCTGGCCATAGTGGGCCCCTAGGCACTGGCCTAAAGTGCCTTATGGATAATACGGCACTGCCACCAAACTCAACACGCTTTCAAAGATAACCTCGTAGCCGCTTGCTCACACTTGACATGACACAACTGAGCCCCGATTACGGTAATTTTTAACGTCAACAATCCAGACACGCTTCTCGATTCTGCGATACGATTGGTCGTTCAACAGCGTACGTCAGCTGTTTTGACCAATCGTATCGCAGAATCAGAAACGCGTCTGCCCCCCTAGACAAAACGCACTTTTTGATCGAATCGAAAATCGAATCCGTCAAAACTCCATACAAAAAAGGGGCTTTTCGATCACTTTTCGACTGGTTTGCGATTATAATTTGCACTTTGTCTAGACCCACTGGATTGTAGACGTTATAAAAGTTACCGTAATCGGGGCTCTGATTGACAGTTATCTTTTTCTGCGCATCAGTCGGGTGTTACGTTTAGGAATCACAAACCTTCCGCTCGCGCGCTCTACAGATTTATACAGATAACATAATATTAAGATTGGTACTAACTATTAATCATCAATAACAACTGTCTACAGTATTTTTGCGCACGGGTTATGCATAGCTTATTTTTATTGCTTTNAGAAATACTAAGGGTTCGGACAATATTTTCATTGAATAATGTTTCCGACAAAGGTTGTCAAATTGACTGACATGTTTATCGTATAGTACAGTCAACTATGAAAATTAGCTGTGGTTTGTTTCAACTACCTATTTTAAAGTTTTTTGTCACTTTTTAAGTGTTGAATTTTATGGAATTGGGAAAGAAGTACCGAGTTTGAAGCGTTCTTAGCAGACATTGCTGCAGTTGAATATTCAAGTTCTGAATTTTATTATTGATGAATAATAAAATAAATCCTACTAGCTCGATTGATGGTTTCATTTAATTTATTTAAACCAGGTTACCTATAATAATATTTTTTCGTTAATTTATGAAAATATCAAATTAGCCCGTAATTCTGAATCCTGATACATAAAGTTAGCCTATTAATTTAACACAGGTACGACTGTACTCAGTGTTGCACTATCAAATGCAATTGACGCGCCACTATGCCAGGGTTTTTATGTTCCTGGTCAGGCTATACCATTGATACCGGCATGCGTGGATGCTTGTGGATACAATAAAAAAAAATGAAACAAAAAGTGCGGAAAACGAAAGATTGTGTGCGTGTTGACTTAAGTATCAAATCAGCGTGTTTTTAACTTTTAAAAGTACGCAACAAGTATTAAATAACTTAGATGATTTTATTAGTTTACCACTTTTACATCTCGTCAGTTGCAGGTTCACTTGGGGTAACTGACAAAATACGGTTTTTGAGTTAAATATACAGTATTTCTTAGTTTTTTCTGCTCTTTCGAATGGTATACGTAAAAAAATTCTAGCTTTAAAAAAATTACAATTACACGGACATTTTCAGGTGTGAACTTTTCAGATTTCCTTTACAATTTTGGTGTAACTGACATTGTAATAATTTTACCAGGTTGAATTGGTGTATCTGTAATAATGTAAAAATTTTGCTACAAAACTTTGCAATTACACTGATTTGCTAAGGTTTATAACATGAAATAAAATAGGATTTTACAAAGTTTCAAGGCATATTACATTATTATTATACCAGCAGTATCAGTTAAAGAAGTTAAAGTTAGCTTAACAAAAAAAAAATTGAAATTGAGCAACTATCCAGCCAACTAGGCGTCACTGCGCGTTGCTAACATTAA